CAAGAGCACAACGAGAAGCTCTTCACAGCCAATCCGCTGAAGAAATTGGAAGAAATTTCTTGACAATCCAAGCCACCGGAGCCGGACCCGATTGGGTCAGAAGTGGGAGAAGAGAAACCCGACCTCGGACCCGATCACACAATCGGGCCAGTCGATTGGGTCAGACCCCCCCCCCCCACTTTTAGGTGCCAAAAGTTCGTTGGAACTCGCTATCCTCACCGGCAAACGATGAAGGAGCTAGGCATTGCACGAGATGTGGAGTTTCTGTTCGAGAGAAGCGGGCTTGGTTCATTCATGACCAGAAATTTAGAAGCCTAAGACGAGGAGACGTGCTACGTGTTAGCTTCACTCCAGCTCCATTTCTACGAGGATGAACCGTCTCCTCTTTAGGCGGTTTTAATTAGGGGAAGAGGTGGTGACGTGGCGAGCGGAGATTGGCTGGAGGTAAAAATATAAAACGAAAAAGGTAAAAACATAATTTTTTTTTCTCTTTTATCTCTCTCTCGTTGAAATCGCGATGAACTCTCTCAAAAGCGAAAATTGATCGACGGCTGAAGTTGGTCACCGACGACTGAAATCGTCATCACCGGCGACTGGGATCTCTATCATCCTCCTTTGACGGCTGGTTGGACGGTGAATCAGGCTGATGTAATCGGACGAGTGAGAGAAAGTAAGTCGACGATCTTCTTCACCAAATCTCGGAGTAGACGACAATTAATCTAGTAAGTTCAATTCGTTCACCAGTTAATCCTTGCATGTTTGATTAATTAAATAGTTTGATTTGAAGAAATATGAGGGTTAATCAATTAAGGTTCATAGATTTGGAAATTTAGGGTTTTCGGATTATTTGAGGATCTTGAATATATTGTTCAAATTGATAAATTTCGCGTATGATTGTAACATTTATGAGTCAAATTTGTTTGAAAAAGTGTAGGTTTTTGTGAATTTTCGTTTTGAATTACGGACATGTTTTGATGAAATTCCTATATGTTTTTGTGAGGTTAAAATCGATGGTACATGGAGTTATATGAATGAATATACTTCAGCTGAAGCAAATAATGGATTTGGTTCCAACAAATGAGGTATGTATTCTGTCAATGATTCATGTAAAATTAGGGTTTAGAAATCCGATTGTATTGTGTGTTTGGTTTGCATCTGTTTGGTTTGTTGTGACTGTGTATCCATTAGTGAGGAAGAAATTCTTGAATGCTATGTCTCGTATTGGTTTAGTGTGCATTGTAACTGTGCTCAGTTTGTACTTGTTGTTGTGTTGATGTGTTGCTCAAACTATATGACTGTTGTTGCTCAAACTATATGGTTGTGTTGCTCAAACTATATCATTGTTGTTATGTTGTTGTGTTGCTCAAAATATATGACTGTTGTGTAAAAGATTAAATGGCTAGTTTACTTCTGTATGAAACATGTATTGATTGTTTCGTCTCGGATTTGCCTTAGATTGGTGTTGTATTGATTGTGAACATATAAGATTGTGTAGAAGTATTGTTATTGTTGTGATTGTGTTGATAGTAGGCGTTGTATTGACTATAATGTATTGATTTGGCTAGAAGTATAGATTGTTGTATTGACTATATTGTATTGATTTGGCTAAAAGTATAGATTGTTTTGTTTAGTCTCAGATTTCTCTTAAGTTGGTGTGGTATTGCTTGTGAATATATATGATTGTGTAGAAGTATTGTTTTTGTTGTGACTGTGTTGAATTGACAGTATTGTATTGACTGTATTGTACTTGTTTTGGCTAGAAATATTGATTGCTCTGTATTTCATGGTGGCTGGGATTGTACTTGTTTTGGCTAAAAATATTGAACACTTTGTACTTCATGGTGGCTGGGATTGTACTTGTTTTGGCTAGAAGTATTGATTCCTCTGTATATATATTGAATGTGTAGAAGTATTGAGTGTTGTTTTGAATGAGTAAAATTAGGTGTGTTACTATTGATGATGTTTAGTAGATATATGTCTACACCATAGTAATAAGAAGGAGGATTTATTTACTGTCTTCAATGCTAACCATAACTTAATGATATCTCAAACTTATTTAAAGTCATACTCCACTTAACCATTTCTCTTCTATAAACATACTCAACTTAACCCTTTCTCTTCTATAAACATACTCCTTCTAAACCATTGAACACCGATTTTCTTCTTCAATGAATCCATTTTAGCCACCATCTGGTTTCATGGATCTCTTAAACAGTCAACCAAATTCCATTCCTTTTCAGACTGATTCACCAAGTATTGATGAATCAATCTATCTCTTTAACACTCAATTCTCTAAATCTCCAATGGTGGCTGACAACACAAAGGAAGAGGATTAAGTGGACACCAAAAGAAGATCGAGTACTGATCTCTGCTTGGCTTAACACAAGTAAAGATCCCACTATGGGGAATGAACAAAAAAGAGAGGCCTTCTCGAAGAAAATTGCAGCCTATTTTGGTGCAACCCCTAGTGTTTCTTTTATGAAGAAGTGGGAGCCAAGTCACTGTAAGCAAATGTGAAGGAAAATAAATGAGAGTGTGTGTAAGTTTGTTGGCTGCCACGAGACTGCAACAAACCAGAAGGCTAGTGGGCAGAATGATAATGATGTGATGAAGCTTGTCCATGAAATCTTCTTCAATGATTACAAGAAAAAGTTCATTTTGGAGCATGCGTGGAGAGAGCTTAGAAATGAGCAGAAGTGGTGTGCAACATCAAAGGAAAAGAAGGACACTTGATCGACTAAAAGAAGGAAAATTTCTAATGGGTTTGAAATGTCTTCCAGCTCAACCCCAATAAACGTTGTAGAGGATGAAGCTGAACCTAGGCCTTTTGGAATCAAAGCTGCAAAAGGGAAAGGTAAGAGGACATCAATTGCTGAAGGAGAAGGAAAGTCTCTGCTGGATTTCAAGAACATGTGGGAGATAAAAAAAGAAGACTTTCTTTTGCAAGAAAAGTTGAACAAGCAGAAACTGCTTGATAGTCTTGTACTCAAAACAACTCTTAAAAGTGCAATGGTGATATATCATGGTTTTTACGTGTTTTTGGCCATGATATAAGTCTTATTTATAGAGCTTTTGTAGTGTTTTCGAGTCTTTTGCAGTCATTTCAGGATTAGGAGCTATTTGGCATGGATTGGAGCTTTTAGGAGCATTTTGAGAAGATGTGCCGAAGGAACGTACCGGGAGAGCATATTGGTGTGAGTGTCGAGCGTCACAACTTAAGGTGTCGATCGACACCAATATCTGACGGCAATTAAATTTCTCGCCTAATTGAAGTTCAGAAGATTTGCAGATTCAGCCCAGAAGTTTCCCTTATTTGCAATTAAGCCCAGTTCGTGGTTAAGACATATATATTGAGTTTTTAGGGTTTTGTTAAGGGGGAAGCTTTATTTTGGAGAGAGAGATTTGTAGAGAGTCAGGAGAGAAGAATCAAAACCTCCTTTAGAGAAGATTCAGAACTCCTTTACTTCTTCTATTACTTTCTTTTATGATATCTATTTTATTCATGATGTTTGTTTCATTCACCATGTCTGAGTAGATCTCTTGTTAGGTTTAGGGTTTTCAAAGGAATTCATGAATTGTTAGGTTGTTAAATTGTTAGGATTGAATCAATAGAGTTCTTCATCTAGATTGTGGTTAATTTATTCTAGAGTAGTGAAAGCAACCTAGAATCTGATCTAAGGTTAATTGGTAGACACGAAAGTGTTATTGATTTCCTGAAAATAATCTAGATGAGCAAAATACCTATTCGCAAAGAGATTTGGTTTAGGGATTTTGTGAACTTATCAAACCTGAATTAAATGCATGTCTTAAACTTATAAAACTGCAAAGAGATTTGGAATTTAGGGTTCTAGACATAGATAGTCTTTGCAACGAAAGTTGATTGATTATATTTTTGTGATTTGAGTTTAAGAACGGTGCTTTATAAATCCTGACAATTATTAATTTGAAATTCTGAATTTCCTGAGAATATCCCCGAGCCTAGTGTTTTCTCATATTGTTTTAAAAACCAATCTTTATCTTAATTTGCTGTTTTGAATATTGAAACCTTGCTTGCTTAGCTCAATTTTAATACCGAATATTTATTGTGTAATCGTTGAGTCTCTGTGGATTCGATCCCTAAGCACTACAGTGATCTCTTAATTGAGAGAGTAGCTCAGGGCAAATTTGAGCCGATCAAATTTTGGCGCCGCTGCCGGGGACTCAATTTTGATTACCATTAGATTAAGGTTAAAAGTTTAGTCTAAGTTTTTGATTTTATTTTGTTACTTACGTTTTTCTTTTCTCTTTTCTTTTTGGTGTTTCAGGTTTATGCCTAATACCAGAAGCCAGCAGAACAAAGAGTTAGTTGATCTCAACAATTCAGAAATAGCAGGTTTAGAAAGAGGAATTCGAAAAGCTAAGAAAAGGGCAGCAATGGCACCACCAGTGATTCTAATTCAAGATGCTGAGGGTACTCTCAGAGATGGAGATGGCCATGTGAGGAATGCACAAGGGCAGAAGCTGAATGCTGACGGGACTGTAATTCCTGAACCAGTCCCCGGTTGTGTCGAGCGACACCAGGCGGGTGTCGATCGACACCAAGCCGCAGCTGACAATGCACGTTGGCGTTGAATGCTGAAGCAGAGGATGAGAACCGTACACTTGGAGAATACAACAGGCCTGCTCTGTTCTATTCTAACCGCTCTGCTATACGTCCTCCTGCATTTCAAAGGAACAACTTTGAGTTGAAGCCTAGTTACTACACTCTTGTAGGACAACACCCGTTCCATGGCCATACTTATGAGCATCCAATGGACCATATTGAGAAGTTTGAGGATCTAGTATCTAGGATCAAGGCTGATGGTGTATCTTCGGATTTTCTACTCTACAAGCTATTCCAGCACTCTTTAGCTGGAGAAGCACTATCTTGGCTGAAGGAGTTGAAGCCTGGATCTCTTACGTGCTGGAAGGATGTAAAAGTTGAGTTCTTAAACAACTTTTATGATGATGCGAGGTCAGAGGAGCTGCGGAAAAAGATTTCTACCTTTTCTCAAGGGATCTCAGAGGCTTTCAAGGTTGCTTGAGTGCGTTTTAAGGGGTATCAGAGAGATTGTCCACACCATGGTTATGACAAATTTCAGCTGTTGGGAATCTTTTATAGAGGATTGGATTGGAGATATCAGATGGCTTTAGATGCTGCAAGTAATGGCAACTACAATACAAGGTCTCCAGCTCAAGCCACCAAACTGATTGAGAATTTAGCTTCCAGCAACAGCACTAAAGTTGCTGATTTTGAGAGGAAGAAGCTAGCTCAAAACATGGATGGTGTTCAACTTGCTGAAGTTAAGGCAAAGCTCGATTCTGTGCATAACCTTCTTGTTTCCAAGAAGATTGTTAAGTTTGCTGCTGAGGTTGAGGCAGTTGAACCAGGTGCGGATGAAGAAGAAGGCGTGAACTACGTCAGTGGAGCTGGATATTTGGGTCAGAAATTTGGTAACACACATTGTAACCGGTACGACAATGGGTATGGTCAGAAAGGC